TTTTTGTTTGTTTTTTTTTGTTGTTTTTTGTTTGTTTTTTTTGTTGTTTGTTGTTTTTTGTTGGGGGGGGGGGGGGGGGTGTGAGGGGGGGGGGGGGGGGGGGGGGGGGGGGGGGGGGGGGGGGGGGGGGGAAGTGAAATATATAATATAATGTATTCGTTCATATTAAAAATGAAATAAAGTAAATTTTCTTATTTTATTAAAAAAAAATGCTTAATCATAAATCAGTTTTGCGATATTTTTATTTTCATGTTTTAATATTAGGAATTTACATTATTGGAGTCAAGTCTCTTGAACCAGCGGGACGGTTAGCTCATTCATCAGTTCTTGTAGGATCTAGGCTTTACTTTTTCGGTGGATATGCCATCTTCTATACCTCAGATGAAGCACTTTATATTGATTTGAAAGAACCATTTAATGCAACCGCTCCACCATTTGATGTTTCATCACCTATTCCAGTGAGAAACTCATGGACAACTACCGCCCTAGTTAATGACGATATTTATCTATTTGGTGGAATTATGAGAGACGTGGAAAACAATGATATTACATTATCATCTTTTACATATAGATTTAATACAAATTCGGAACAATGGGATGTTCCCGCAGTTAAAGGAAATGAATTTAAAAGTCGAAGAAACATGAAAGCTGTTGTTGATGATACTGGAAAGATTTATCTTCTTGGCGGGTTCACCGATACCTTAACTGGCTCGGATGTGGCTCGCATTCTTTATGATCTTATAACATTTAATACAAATGATTTGACCTTTGACTCGGTAAAGGCTCCTATACGACGAGATCATTATACTGCGACAATGTTGCCGGATGGTAAGATCGTGTTTATTGGAGGTCGAGAAAAAAATGCTGAGGGTATACTTGAAGCGGACATTAATCGAATTGTCCTTTATGATACAAAGAAAGCGACTTGGTCAGCGATGGTAAGTAATGTATTATGATTATTACTAACGTTTGTTGTTAAAATTTATTAACATTTTATTTGATTTAAGAATGCAATAAGCACAGGTCGAATCGATTCTCGTTATTTACACTCTGCTGTATTTGGTATGATACTTTTTTTTTTTTTAAAAAAAAAAAAAAATAAATGAAAATGAGATGTTCTTTTTCTTTTTATTATGAAATTTATTTTATTTATTTATTTAATTAAAATAAAAAGTTTCCGACAACCGAATTATTATTTGTGGTGGTTCCAGAGCTAATGAAGCAGAACAAAATTTCAGGGTTACTCCAGACATAGCAGTTTTAAACACTCAAAAAATTCCCTTTGAATGGACTGTCCCAAAAGTATCCTCAAATATTGATAAATTTCCTTCACTTGCAGCTCACACAGCAAATCTAGTTGGATATTATATGATCGTTGGTTTCGGTAAATTATTGTTTACGAAAGGAAAAAAAAAGGGGGTCATTTTTTTTTTATAATCATTAATATAAAATTTTTAATTATATAGGAAATATTACTTTACCAGATGCTCCCCCGAAGGACCTCTCTTCAAGTATTTATTTGATGGATATTAGAAATTATACATGGGTTAATACATTTGAACCTCTTTCAGCTCAATCTCCACTAGTTCAAACGCTTGAACCATCCATTTTAACGCTATTTTTCATTATTATAAGTGGGATAATAATCGTTGCACTCATTAGCTCTAGATTGATCAAAAAAGAAAGTAAAATAAAAGAGCAATGAGGATTAAAAAAAAATATATATAAAGATTTACATATTAGAAATCTGATATTTAAACAAAAATTGCGTTATGATTTATTAAGAAGTTTCGGTAAATTAGCTAAAAAGTTTTTTAAAATATAATAATAATAATAATAATAATAATAATAATAAACCGGCTAATAAGATTTCATTTATTAATATAATAGTTCATTATTAAAAAAGTCTAAAAAGTCTGTGTAAAAATTAATGCCAAAAAAATTAATAAATATTTGCGAGATCGTGAATTAAAGGCGACGATCAAAAGTGGGAAGATAAATAGAACGACGATGTAAGTGAAATCACCATCAACTGACGCACGAACGATTAAAGCTTTATTGAGAAGTCTAACGTTTCTTGGGTTAACATATTGATTCATGAAAGCAAGAGGATTTCCACAAGCATAGTCTATTTTATTGCAATCACTTGACGTTCAATTTAGCACCAGGTGGAACTTTCAAAGGTCTTGACACTGTTCTTAAAATTTTGGTTCTTGTAAAAATGTGGAATCATGAATGATTGTTTTACAACTTATGTTGTAATTTTCTCGTTAACTTCTTTTTTTGAGTTTTCGACTTGACTCAAAGTTATAAAAGGTTGTTGTTAATCTATACTAAAGGTATTAAAGTGGATTCCATATACAAGTATATCTGTCATAAAGTGCTTATGAAATGCCATCACGACAATCTTGTTCGCATGCATGCATGAACAATTAACAATCTTTGTATAATCCCTTATGGATGGTTATCCACTAGCGTCGATTATTAAGGTAATATTTTTATTTTTGGAACAAAAGTTTATTTCTTTAGGGTAATTTCAAATAGAAGACAATTATAATAATAATAATAATGTCGCGTTCTCGCATTCATTACCTTTTTAGTAATCAACCTTTTAGTTATATTTTTAACCAGCAAAGTCAACTTATGGTCATATTTACCAATATCGGATGAAAAATCAATTTAAATCGTATTTGGATAATAAGGCATTTGAACATTTAATCTTTTTACGCGCTTTTTTGTTGTAAAAGAATAATTTCTAGAAATGAAGGTAACATTTAACTAAATAAATGAAATTTCTCAAATTGCTTAATAATAAATTTAATATAGTGAATAACAAATCTAATTGATATTTGAACGAACAATAATGTATTTAATTTTCAAAAGAAATAAAAAATAATGTCAAACACGTCAACGAATCTTCAAGAAACAGTACTAACGATCAAACATTTAATTCCTTTATACAATACAGACATACATTAAAGTATTTTTCCGGTAATGACTAAATATATTCTATTCTTAAAATAATAATAATTATTAGAATTCAACAGCAATTAAAAGGGATTTTACATCAGCAATTTACAATAATTACTGGATAAGATAATATCATGAGAATGGAAATAATTTAATATTAAGTAATTATCAGATTATCTAATATTAATACCTATTAGTTTTGCTGCTCAAAATATAGAAGGAAAACCCATTTATTCTGCATTACGTCCTATAATCATTACCTTTAATTTCTAAAAGGTTTTGTCTTTTTGTACAAGTTGAAAACACATTAAGCAAAATTAACGAAATAAATCACGAGGAATTCAAATTGAATGTTATTAAAACATGATTATAAAATCAATGAATGCAATCTTTGAAAATAGGTTACTTTGAAATTATTGGAATTGCTATTAATATTGAAATTACAAAGCTAAAGAAGACACTGAAAAATGTAGTTATAAACCCAACCTATGGTCTAATTAGTGCTTATAAATTAACTAATCATCAGATCTAAAAAAATTTTTTTCTTTTTAACCTTAATCAATATTGCAAGTTCCTACTGGTGTTCCTACATCTGATATACTTCCATCAACTAAAAATTTTACGAAAGAATTGTGCTAAATGTGAGTATGAAAAATTTTAGTCAATGATATATAATATAATTTTTTTATCTTTATGATCATATTTGCCAATAATATTAATACTTACTTACGTTTTTCTCTCTACTTCATAAATTGTATTCAAATTATCGTAAATAATCTATTGCAATAAATAAAATAGCAGACTTTAAATTTATAGCCGTTGCTTCATTCTTGTCTGCACTGTATCATATCTTAATTTTTTAACTTTACTCACTGTGAAACATTTTGATATACCATGACTTGTGTCTTTTGCTCAAAATAATATTTGCTTGATTTAAAAAAATCATTTTCCATTTCGATTATTTATTTATTTGAGTGAGTATTTAATACACATTTACTAAAAAAAACTATTGTAGCTTATAATATATGATTCTGTTTGCTATATTAATTAATCAATTTTTTTTCTTTCAGCTCTTTCTTTTCAATTAAGGTAAAAAGTGTAAGATAGAATAGGATTAAATATTATAAGATTGAAGTTAACTTAGTCAATGAAAAAAGTGCATCAGCAGAATTTGTGAAACATAATGATGCTATGATTGAAATTTTCATCAAAAACTATAATTGATAAATATTAAAGCAAAGTCAGAATACCTACTTTGGTTACATTTTGGTGGTTATGAAAATGGAAAAATGAAGTTGGTAATTCAATTATATGAAAATGATCAAAGTATATAAAAATGTTCTTTGGTTAGAAATTTTATCCATTTAATCAAAATATGTATAAAGAAAATCAATGGCTCAAATTATCTCTGATTACTGTATATTATGGTGAAAAAAACAAATGGAGTACTATAACCAGCTTTATTAATACAAATAACTACTAAATTTAAAGACTAGTTGTATTATTATATAAGAAAAATATTTATTATTTTTTCTCATGATAATTCAAGCAATTTTCTAAGTTGTAGAAAATTAGGAAACTTAGTCATAAATTGCATTTGTAGAGGTGGTGTGAATTCTTGACTGCATTTTTAAAATCTTTAGCAAGTTAAATAAGAAATATTTGATGCTCACAAAACTTCTATGTGATATTTATATTGCCAAACTTCCACTTAAGTATGTAAATAGCATCAAAAAATATGGTAGAAAAGTTCAGTTTTTTTCAGGTTTGTTCAACCTACTATATATCTCAATAAGTGACTTCATTTCTAACTGTTTCCTAATACAGTCACACCTCGATATAACGAAGTTGCCGATCCAGCCGATCAGGACTTCGTTATAAGAATCTTCGTTATAGTAGATGATTACTGATTTCATTACACAAATATAATTTTATTATTTCCAGAAATATTTTCACGTTATTAATTGTTGAACGACAGTTTTATTAATTTACTTAAATTTTTTTTTTAAAAA